GCTCATACACCGCCACGCGTCGCCCCAGTCCTTGACCGAGATCCTCTCGACGCACGAGCGTGCATAGCGAACACCCCATTCGTTTCGCGCGATGGCTTCGGGCGTGAACCACCGGATCATCGTCTCGGGGAGGAGGGGCGACACTGATCCGGCCTCCTCAGCCCTGGTGGCCCGGGTGACCCACGACGGCTGGCCTTCACCTGCGGTGGTGATGAGGCCGACCGAGCGTGTGGACTGTGGGTAGTTGAGCGCAAAGTACTGGGCGACGGCACCGCCGTAGGATTGACCGTAGACGTCGGCCTTGGGGATGCGCAGCTTGTCGAGCAGACTCTGCAGATCGGCGGCGAGCTGGGTGAGAGACTGCGCCGAGGGAGCGTGGGCCGCGTAGCCATGGCCTCGCAGGTCATAGGAGATGACGCGCAACTGGCCACCACTGCCATCACCGGCTTTACTCGCCGCGAGACTGGCAAAGACGGCATCCCACATCCTCCGATCCAGGGCCAAGGCGTGAATGAGCACGATAGGCACCGCCTGCGTGTTCTGAGGATCCGAGTCGCGCACCACCGTCTTATGCGTCGTACCCTGGTCGGCCCCAACTAACACCTCCTTCTCCAGATGATGCAGCCTGCCGCGCAGCGACTTGAGCACGCCCTCGACGCGCGCCCGCACCGCGACAGCCCGGGCGGCCCCGACACTGAAGCTGGACTGGAAGACGACGTTGTGGATCTCGGACTCGGTGGCACCGTAGTGCAGCGCCGTGGCGACGAAGTCTTCCAGCGTGGTCGTCGTGGTGTCGGCGAGGGCGAGGTTGCTGCTGCTGCTGGTGGGGCTGGAGACGGGCGCTTCGTGGGCGATCTGCGCCATGAGGCCCAGCAGGGCGCATTCGCGGTAATTGAGCGACGAGGTTGACACGAGGTCGAGGAATGCTGCGGGCGGTTTGAAGGACGAAGATGGTGCTGCCATTTTGTCTTCTTTTTCTCCTTTGTGTCAAGTTTCTTCTACAGATGCCCTGATCTTGTCCTTTGGGGGGTTGGTTCGTCCCCTTGATTTTGGTTTTTCTGCCAGTCAAAATAGGTCCCTCCACCCCGCGCAGAGGAGAAGTAATACTTCCTCGTCAGACCACTCGAGGAAAATTGAATGTGGAATCAATTCCCAGCCCCGGCCCAAACACTGAGCAAATAGAATGGAAGAATGAAGAAGATGATCCTCAAAGGAAGGGTAGCCAGTAGTAAAATGTCCAAGACGACAAGACGAAAGACGACCAAGGCCCCCGCCTTGCCCCCAAAAAGAGCCGACTCGGAAGTAAAACAGATGGTACCGCTTTACTCTCTTTCTTTCTCTCTGGGTGCGCGCGCGCGTGTGCTTGTTCCGTAGAAGAGACCTAACTAAGAATTAGAAAGACCGGAATCAACAACACCTTTTCTTTGCCCCTCTGCTTTTTCTCCCTCTCCACCTGAAAGCAGTCCTGCGTAATCCTCAATTGGGGAAATGGGATAGTCGAAGGTTTTTTTTTTCCCTTCTCAGAATGTGGAGGGTAATATCGAATCGCGTCGAGTCGGAAAACGGCAAGTGGGAAACGAACAGAAAAGGAGGATAGGAATAGGTATAGGAATACCGAGTAATTGGGAGGAATCATGCATTGCGATTATTCAGCTCCCGATCGTCTTGAGTTTCTCCTTACTCGTGGGTAAAACCTATGGACCTCACAAAGTACGAGTAATTGGGTAAACTTGTGTATCTGGTTCTGGTGCGGTACTACAGCAAAGGGACATCTCATATCCTTTGACCCTTTCTATACTATATTACTCACATGGATAATTTGATATCAACCACCCCTACCACTTCCGCTACCGCTGCTGCTGCTGCTGATTCTACTCCTTGATCACTAGGCCGGTGTAAGAGCCAGAGACGAGATACAAAGTCGGAGGTGGATTTGTGTTTCGGAATGGGTTTGGAGCAAGAGTTGGAGAAAAAAGCCAAGTCAGTGGCTTGTCAGTCACATATCTGAGCGGAGTTTGACCGGCCGAACAAGTATGTCCCGAGTACGCGGTATTATGGATTTGTACCCCAACACACAAGGCTGGACGAGGCTGACAAAAGCTGACTACCTTGACGACTTCGCACCCAGCACCTAGTATGCCAGACCCAGCATGAAGCACCATACGAGCAGGTATTAGGTTGGCAGACACAAGCCCGAGTGGAAACCTCATTGGCTCTCTGACTCTCTCTCCTCTCCTCTTCTCCTTTTCTATGGACGAGAATATGGAGGATTATGTATAATATATACCTTGCTATACTTGGCCAGTCCCCTCCGTTAACACGCGCAATTTCTCCCGAATGTGCAGCGTGGCCGCATCACCCTCACCGCGGAGCATGCACGACGCATCCAGCGCCCATCGGAGCCAGTATACTGCATCGGCGTCAACTCTAGCGCCAGCTTCTCCCTCGCTCCCGACACTCAACTCGGCTAACTCGCCCATGTCCTCCATCGCGTACGCGGCGCGCGTGTCGGGAAAGTTCACGCCCTGGAGGAGCTGGTAGTTCTGGATGACGGACGAGCACAGCGCGCGCGCCACCGTGGGCTGGCCGAGGTCCTTGTGCACATGGACAAGCTCGGTGAGAGCGATGCATAGGTCCGTCATGACTGCGGTCGTGGGCCGGTGTTGGTATCGGTAGAATATGTCCGCGTCAGGACGCGTCGATGATGATGATGACGATGATATTGCCAAAGTCAGGCTTAGCGCCTGTTCGGTCGCCTCGACCAGGATTTCGCCTTGCTGCTTCGCCGCGTCGAGCCGCTTGGACCGCCGGAGCAGGCTGACCAGCGAGCGGTGCACGGCAAACGTGGTGTGGTGGTGGCGACCCAGCGTCTGGGTCAACACCTCCAGCGTCAGATGCGACGCCGCCTCCGACACCGCGGCTGCTCCGCCGAGTTGATTGTCCTCCCTGGCCATCTCGCGGCAGATGACGGCCAAGGGATGCTGCGGGGACTGCAGCTTGATGGCCGCCATGCCGGCAAGATAGCGCAGCAGCGTGCTCCGCACCTGTGGGTACACTCTGGTGTTGACGGGTGAGAGCACGGTGAAGACGCTGTTCAGAAACAGTTGCGAGGTGGTAAACATGTCGTCTCCGACCAGCGCGCAGGCCTGGTTTAACAGGGGCCACGCCAGGTCGGGGCATTGCTTCTTGAGAAAGTAGATGCCGGACTTGACGTTGGACCAAAACGCCGTGGCGTGGCCGTTATTGTCGATGGGCACGGATTCTGCCGTCGAGGGGTCCATGACTTTGAGGTAATACGTCCGCGTCTGCTGCAGGATGAGTTCTGCGTTGAACTGGTTCTTGGGCGGGAAAATCGGTGGACTTGGGGTTGGAGTAGGGGTAAGTGTACCGACAGCTAAGTCGTCAGAGTGTCTGGCGTGGTCGGATTGCGACGACGAAGGCGTCAGTGAGAGGGAAGTCGTATTCCCCGATCCAGCGGGTGTGGCACTGGATACCTCCGAAGGTCTCACAGGGACGCGAACCATGTCGTCGCCTCCGCTAGAACTGGACGAAGTAAGAGAATCCTGCTGCTCGTCGTCGTCGTCTTCAAAACGTGTCCTGTGAACCTTCTGCTTCGGCCGCGCACGAACCGGCTCCACCCCACGCTTCGGATCCCTGAGATGTCTCAGCACGCGGTGCAACTTGACCGGACGGCCGTCGAAGGTGATTTGAGAGGCAGGCCGGTTCTGGAGGTGCGCCTGGGCGATGCGCGCGGCGAGCAGGTCTTTTTCCTCGGCGCGGTAGTTTTTGCGTATGTTCCACTGGTTGAAGCGGGTGTTGTACATGCGTTTTCTGTCGAGGTGGCGTTAGTTTGGAGAGTGAGAGAGCAGGAAAGGGAGATGGGAAGAAAGGGGGAAGTATCAGTGTGTATACACATGGATATGGATATACATAGACCAGAAACACACACATATACTACCGTATATCCGTATGTATGTATGTCTAATTATGTACTCCTTATCCCCCCTTATGAGGTCCACCACCAGCACCACCGCTGACACCTCCTCCTCCATCAACCAAGTCTCATCCACTGACTAGTAACTGGCCCCCCGGGGGGGGGGGGGGGGGAAGATACCTACGTCGCCTTGAAGCGATACTCGCGCTCCATGATCCTCTGAACCTCCTTGAGCGGCAGCTCCCGGTCGCGGTATAAATGCGTGATGATGGCGCGGTGGGCGAGCCATTCCTGGGGCGTCTGCGGGACCGTCGCCCTCGCATTTGCGGCCGCGGTCACCGGTCGTGAGGGGTCAGCCATTGTAGCGGGTGAACGAGGGGTTCTCCTTCTAGCGATCCGGGTATTCAGAAGCGGAACAAGAACAGCAACAACGAAAAAATGCCCGGAGAGTCTGAGTGGAAAGTGAGCAGACCGTGATGAGCTGAGCGGAGTGGTGGAGCGGTACAAAGGTTCCAGACAACCAGAATACACGGCCAAAGGCGAGCAAGAGCGCGAAGGATTCGGGTTCGTGATCGAAAAGGGTTCAAGATGGTTGGAATGGCCTTGATATGAGACCGTTGTGATATCAAACTCCAAACTCCCATTTGACCCGTGCAGGTCTGTGTTTTCACTTGTGCAAGTAGTCGCTAGTTAGAGTAGGACGAGGAGTACGAGGAGTCATGCGACATAGCTTGCCTGCATCTTCTGTGGTGATGATCCGGATGAGGCTGTGCTCGTGCCTCTGAGTGGCGAAGCCTTACCAAGATATGCGCTACAAAATCCCCGTGCATTAGCTGCCACACAGATCAACCAATGGAAAAGACATCCTCCACCAAAAGTTTGCTTCACACCATTCAATCTGCTTGGACAATATAGTGTCACTCTCACAAAGCTTGTACAAAAGTACCGCCCAGCACAGTCCAGTCCGGCCGCCCGTGGTATCGTCATCCCAAAGACTCGTAGCTTCCCCTGGTCATTTCTTCCCACTATTGTACAAGATATTACAAGGCCGTGGCATCCTCGTCTCTCATCTGGCATGTGGCAACGTTGGACCCGAACTCATCATTGCCTGTCTCATATTCCCCTCCTCGTTTCCGTAGTTCACAACCCGTTTACTCCCATGCTTGCTCACTGTAACATTTGCTCTCGTGTCGTGGGAGCCAAGCACTCGGCGATTGTGTTTGGCCAGCGCGAGTGCTGGTGTGGTCCTATCTGGACGACCAGCTCGAGGTCCAAAGAGAGTGGTTCGAGTCTCCTCCCAAAGCGTCTGACAAGCCGGCAAACTGGTCACAATGTAGATGATGGTATTCCAAAACCCCTGCAGTGGAAGCACCAGACCCGAAGCAAAGTCGAGTCCGAAGACAGAGTCATCTGGCCAGACCAGAGTATACACTCGGTTGACGGTGGAAGGAACCCTGACTTTGTCAATCCAGGCAGCTTATGAGACGTAGAACAAATACATACCATGTGCAGAGGAGAGCAAGGAAGAACAACATGGCCGTTTTGCAATAACTCATAGTCGCCTTGTTCGCGTCCAGTGTTCGAATTGGTGGTCTCTCCACAACCACATTGGTGTTTGTTTGGTCTACATTTGTAGATGGCGCATCCTCGTGGTAGGTGTTCCGTGGGGACCTCAAATTGCGCTGCTGGTTCGGTGTGTGCGAATGAGGCACTTGACTGCTGATGGTGACCTCATACGTCTTTGGAGACACAGGAGAGGTCGGCAGTTGATTCATTGCATAGCCGTTGGACGGAATGTCGGCTCTGCCCTCACTCTGATTCAAAGAAAGGAGGTGCCTTCGCCAACGAAAGACTACCACGCCCACCTTGACGTAGATAAACATGGTCACAAGAATGATCAGCCACACTGGTCCATAAAAGGTCGCGATTCGGAGCGCATTCCACTCCGTCGAGACCCAGCACCAGAGCTGTGAAAGAGTCAGCCAAGACAACATCCATGGCAAAAGACACACATACCACTGCATCCCCATACACTTTTCCCTTGCCGTCAGAACCGACAAACAAAAACACCAAAGCTGGCACAAAAGGAAAACCATAGCAGGCTCCCAGGTATCTCCACTCCAGGCCTCGAAGTTGCGACGCGTCGTACTGTCGAAAGAAGGAGAGGTACACATTGCACGCCATGGCGAAGGTCCATAGCGCATCAGCAGGCAAGAACCTATTTCAGCATGAGCAAGGCCGACAGAATGAGGGGCAGCAACAATCTCACCAGTGAATCAAAAAGCCCTGGAATTGACATAACGGGGATGTCACCCCCAGCTTGATGCCAGACCTCGCAATCAGGGTCGCCACATTGGCAAACAGGTTCCCCCATGCAGCATAAAACACCAGTCGATTGATGGGTTTCCGAAACTTGCTGTCTGAAAGAAACGTCGCAATAATGAATGCGGCTCCAAAAACAGAAAACACAGAGGCCACTCTCTCAGCCGCCACCAGGGCATGGTCCTGTGAGGCTGTAATAGCCATGTTGAACGCGATATGGAGGCTGCGACCAGACGAGCATACCGAACAAGCTCAAGAGGGTCCAAGATCAAGACTTTGCGGGTTGCGGGGGAATTGACCTGCTTTTGTCTTTGGCTGCATCGATATGCCACTGTATGTATAACGTCTGTGTCCCAGGGATCCAGTGACCCAGTGACCCAGTGATCCGTAGTGTCCTCATTCACTGTTTGCCACAGAAGTGGCCAAGGGGTTGCAACTTCACCCGTCTCCACAACCACCACCACTGAGGTCAGAAATTTTCGAGAAGCAAGCCGTCTCCGCCAGGGCAACTCGGTCGATTCGCTGACATGTGAGAGAGACAATGACTCTGCCGGGGTCGGTCTGGGGACAGAGGACGGTGGTCGACATTGAAACGGCTAGAATGTATCGGGGATGTGCCTTCCGTATGTGCAGTGGTGGATCTAGCAACGACTCCACCGGTGGAGCGGAAAGAGAAGTTACTATGGTTCATTGATCAACGTTGCAGAAATTCGCAATGGCACGAGCTGGGGTGCTGGGGTGCTGGGCGTCATTCCGCAAGTGGTCATAGTGGCAGTGGTAGTAACAAGGAGAAATGCCCGAGGTTCAGCAGATGCCCTTGCCATGCCGTACTCAGAATGGGAAGATGATGCAGGGTCACATAATCGTCTAGATCGGACTGTTTGATCGACGCAGGGTTGTTGACCTTTGGGAGAGGCTGGTTGTCACATGCGTGGGCAGTATTGAGATAGCCAGGACTCCCATCATGTGCGCTGAGATGTATGAGTAACGTCCGAGAAGGGACAAAGAGGTGTTTTCCACTTCCGACCTGTTCGTCAAAGTCAAGGGCATGATTCGCGCCGTCTGCACCATGTCTGTGTCAGGGACAGGAACAGGTCTGGGGATTTCATGCTCGAGGGAAGCCTCACAAGACCGCGCTCGGTTGCTCGGCAAGACTGAGAGAGCGCGACTCGAGACGATTGTGCCTGAACGCAAAGACTGCGGGTGGGGAAACCCTTTTCCCCAGGATGAACAAGACGTCCAGGGCGGTCGGTGTAAAGGAAGCTACTGCAGGCACAAAAGTCCCAGACGAGGCCTAATCCGACCGAAAAGCCGGGGACATAGATATTCGAGTCGCGTGATAGACAATAAGTTAGGAGCACTCGTACTTGGCTGCGCTGGACCAAGACTAATGAGAGAAGGTGCTATATTGACTGTTTCGACGATTCGCAGGGAATGGCTGGTAGGATTGCGCGAGTGAAACACCATATCGTAGCAATAGAAGAACGAACAGTTCATCCCACTGGCCGCCTGATTGCGTTCCGGGGTTGAGCCTCGAGTGTTGACTGATGTGGCGTCATGAAGGTTTCCACCGGCGATGAAGAAATCAATCCCAACGCCTACTGAGACAGCAGTCTAGCACGGCCTGACTAGTCCATCTGAGGAAACGGACTATTGAAACACTGGATCGTAGAGAAGGCACCTGGTCAAGGGTTCCAGTTGCATGAACATGCCCAGTGACCCATATCTGATTCTGTGCGAGCGCCTTGAACTTTTTCAAGCTCTGACAATAGACCGAGACTTGCAATGCTCAGAGTAGGTGAAGGGGAGGAACGACTTTGTAGTCAGGGTGTCCGACCAGAACCCGTCGAACGCGCGAAACAGCTCTTTCTATATTTGACCATTTGACTCCTCTCACCTGTTTTCCGACCTGTATCTGAACTAGGCTACCGTCACGGACCGGGTACGGGCTTTCCTGTAATTAAAATATGATCGTGGAGGAGTTGGTTTCCTGCTTGCTGCATGAGATTTCCACAAGGCATCAGTACTCTATACAGAAGCAATCCCATGACTTTGCAGTGTGGGGGTTCGTGGTGGAGGGGGATCCAAAATCTGACGGCGGGAATTTCTTCAGGTACGAGGGAGATCATAATTGATGTTTGTGTCATTATCGGTGGACTTGATGATCGTCATTCCCCCAGAGACAGTGGATGGGTGGGTGGGTTGGTGAGTATCCCAGTGCACTGTCATGTCAGGGGGGTGAAAGACGCTCCCGCCCTGTTGGGTACGTGGTCCACATTGCATTGTGCGAGTACCCCAGTGAGCCTGGTTAAACGGTCAAAGGGGGGACAATACCACAGGGGGATTAGTACGAGGTAGTAGTACCAGAAGCAGCTGCAGTAGTATGGAGTGTCAAGGGGGCAACAGTCGCAGTAGTGGGTGGCCACTGACCAGGTGCAAGGGAGACAATCCCGGCTAAAAGGAGGAGAGAGGAAAAAAAAGCCTTGGACATCAAAAGAGGATGTTGCCCCGAGGCTGCCGCCACGAGCCACCCTTACTTATCCTCTGCCTTTTGATCTCCTCTCAAGAGTGCTGTAGTGCTGGGGAAATATTATACGAGGGGTTGCAAGCTGTAAATTTATTGTATCGTGCTCGTGTGTGACCGAGTAGAAAGTAGGCCAAGGAGCCAGTGGCTCCAACAATCACGGACATGTAATTCCACACATTGTATATCCGACTGACGAGTCGTCAGCGCGGAGATCGCAACAAAGGTCTCCTCGTAGGTATTCGTGGGATGGTACACAACAAATTGAGATGAGACGAACGATTGCCCGCGAGCCAGGCACACACACAGACACACGTATGCTGGGCGGGTAGCATTCATCCCGGCGTCACCGACTGTATGTACTGGGGTTCCTGACCATCCATTCCCACATTGGTTGCAATCTACAGTACCTACGAGCAAATCCCGTGTCTCCTTTTTTCGTCATGTCCATTGCCCACTTCCTCAAACTATCCAGCAATGACGAATGGGGGGTTCGGACAATACCCATTTGGGACGAAAGAGTGGCAGTTGTATCCAGCTCGCCAGAAGTTCTGGGTGGTATCGAGTACATATGTACGAGCGCAAAAGATCTGCACTGATCAGAAGCAACGTACCTACCTAGGCTGTTGTTGAGGGACCAGACGAAGATCGCTGAATGAAAACCAATCAGCAATCAATAGGATAAATCGTGAAGAAATGAAACCCTGTGATAAAAGAGGGAATGTCGCCGACTGCGAGGCCCCAGAGGTCCCATTTTCAATACCTTTCCCCCAAGACGTATAATAAACGAACGCCATGCAAAGAAGCCGAATCCTTCATTCAACGTCTCCGCTGGGAACGCGATAACTCAATTCCTTGACCATGACACCACAGACCACATAACAGCAGGTTCATATTTGCCCGTCTTGCTAACAAGACAAAATGATCCCAACGACCAAACGGACATCATAATGCTCATCTCTTCCCTGCATCATTCTTCGTGTGATACTTGGGCACCCTCTCATAAGCATTAGGGCTAGGTTTTCTCCTTCCCTTGCCCTTCCCATGATCACAACCGTCGTTATGACTATGGTGGTCACGAGGATGGTCGTGTTTTCTCCCTTTCCGGTTCCCGCTCATCCTCGCACCGCCGTCGTCAGGACTGTCACTACCGCCCGCATCGCTGTCACTGTCACTCGAGGAATCACTCGAGCTGTCGTCTTCACTGGAACTCTCGCCAAATTCCCGGGGTTTGTGGTAAATACAGCACACTTTGCTTGATTTTCTGCCCAGCCCTTCGTTGTCTACCACGTCTTCTGCCCAAGTGATCTGTCTGCGGCGCCCTCGACTCGTGTTTGTGCCGGATCCGGCAGCGGTGGCATCATGTGCCCCACGGAGACGCAGGATGAGCGGTTCGGGCGAGACTGATCGTGACGAGGCGGAATCGACCGGAGTGACGGTCTGGGTTGCCGAACCTGACGTGACGCGCCGCGAAGGCGAAGCTGCGAGCAAGGATGGGCCTATATGTCTGGCACCGGTTGGTCTGGGCGGATGATGGGACGAATTCACGGCTGATGGTTGACCCGACGGGGCTGTAGATGAGGACATGGTGAACCCGAGAATTCGCGCAGGGACTATAGTGTCGACTGGTCCTGTTTCTCTTTGTCTGTGAGGCAGAAATGAGATCTCGACTCGATCGTAAGTACGACGAAAGATAAGACAGATAATGAAGGACTTTCGACACTCAGGGTCTAAACAACAAGAGATGTTTTGGTAATTTGAAGTTGTGAGGTAGTATGTTGTAAGTAGCGGGCTGAAATTGCGGCTCGTCAGAGGTTGTGGTGGAGTGGCGTGGCGGGCGGAGCGCATGCACACAAACAGCAGAAGCGTATGTATCTATGGGCTGGAGGCTCAAGCACAATAATGAAGGAAGAAATGTGACTATAAGACCCCCTCGCAATAATCGAATTGTCTCAGCGAACGGTGACCAGTGACCGGTGAATGAACGGCGAAAATGAGGGAGTTTTATTCTGCTTCGCGAGGATGATATGATGTCTCTGTATTGTCCTGTACCGAGTATTCGGTAGACGGGGATGAATGTTTTTTTGGGCGTGGAAAGAGGTGCAAGATTGGCGTGGCCCGCGGGACTGCAGATCGTTGTGGACGTGGGCTTGGGCGCGGGGCGAGGCGAACAGGCGGGCAATGGCAATGGTAATGGGAACGGGAATGGGACAATGGCACGAGATGACGCCGAATAATAAACAAATTTCGCTAACTCGCTACTCGCTACGTATTTGTTGTGTGTATGCGTGCGTCCTTTCCGGACCTCGTAATGATGCACACGAGACCCCTTGATGACCCTTACACTTATTAGTTGTACGAGTTGAGAGGGTCCCGAAAAAAACAATCAAGTGACGTCCCTATGTTTTCGTCCCCCCACTAATTGTGCTTCTGTGCATCTGCATGCCTTAGTGCCCGCTTTTTCCCATCCATCCATTCAACCTCCTCCAAGCTGGCTGGCTGACCGGACTGGCTGGCTGGAAGGCTGATTGAATTATTCTTGCTTGTTACAGTAACCACCTACATACCTCACTTCTCACATCTCCAGTATTACTACTATACTCGTACTCGGTCGGTACTCGCTTCGGTTCGCTGCGTTACGTTGCGTTGCGTTCCTTTTGGTTGGGCTTCTCACGCACCG